CCTTTAGTTTTCATAGTTAAATGAAGATGGTTTTAACGCGTTCATTAAAATAATATTTTAACAGTTTTTGTAAATATTTGTTTATCTTGCGACTGAACTAGTAGCTTCTGTTATGTATGCTGTTTATTCTACCTTTTTTTTTAAACATTTAACCTATCAACTTTTGTTAAGTCGTCACTATATGTAAAATAACGTCTTTTTAAATTTTTTAAAGTGTAAGAAGTACTAAACATGGCTACACCTCAAAAGACATCGTTGCCTATTGACAATAATTTAACGATTCAACATCTTGTTAATCAACATAACGAACCGCATACAACTCATTACGATCGTACTGAAGCCACGATTCATCACAATGAACAAACGACAAACGTGTTATCTAAACGCAAATTAGAAGATCAAACTGAACATACCAACGATCAACAATCTCCATTTAAAACTACATTGACTCCAATATTTTCTACGTCAGACTCCCATTTAGACGTTCCATTTTGGAAAAAGATTATGTCAAATCGTCCATTTTTTGAACCTAAAGAAATTGGAAATTTTTCACTATTAAATCGTGGTGATACCAAAGAATGTTTTGAAGATGATCGTTATTTACGAAAATATATTTATCCGTTGAAAACAGTCGATGTAAAATTTGATTGTACAGTTGGTGAGAGTACGTTTGAATTACAAGGACAAAACAAAAATATAGATAGTCTGTTATGGTGGCTTTTGAGACACAAAAATGAATATTATCAAAATGGAAGGTATAGATCAATACTTTGCTATTAACTAAATTTTATCTCTATACTTTCATTTAGATTCACGTTTGATTTTCTATCTTGGCGTGGCGTCTTACGTTTAATTATGTTTACATTATTTGAAAAACTATCCGAGTATGTCATTCTATTTTACCTGTCTAAAATATGAGAATTGTTCTGTTTTTTGTTTTGTTCATTCTTCAGTTATTTACTTGCCATTGTCAGATATAAGAACAGCTATTTTCTGTGTGAATTTTCTACCGATCTTCAGGTGAAACAAGAGAGCGATATGACGGGTAAGTAGTGTGACGGGCGGGCTTGTCAATATATCTAATTTAATCTGTTTTAGCAAAACATCGTTCATACTGTTATTGGGGTCATAAGTTTGAAGATTATGTAACAAAGGGTACGTTTATCTGATGTATATTCCAACTTTATAAGGAATGTCAATTGTTTATTTTTAAGAAATTATTGAAAGCTCACCCAGTCCAATGAAACAATACACAGGTATGAATTCATACATCAGTTAATTCTTAATTATTGTTGAAATAATGTTCTAAAAGGTGTTTTTTACTCGGTACTTGATTGTTATCGTCTGTTGTATGCTGCTGAAATGGACTGTGTAATTGAAAACAAATCAAACAATGATAAGAACAAAGTTGTTCAAGAACATGTAGAATTGAAAATTTGCTCGGGAAATTCACTTGCCGATTTACCATTCAATTAGTAAAGAAAAATTATGTTTATGAAAATACATCCGTTATGAGTCTTATTTATATTGTTTAGTAATCGAAAGTATGCAAAATGGTGGTTACAATCATATCTTGCAGGTAAGATCTTAGCATAGTACTTGCTTATAGATGAGTGTAAAAGAATCGAAATTTTGTGAAGTTAGAGAATGTGTTGAATTATGTGAATTCTCATTCGTTACAGAATAAGTGCAGATGTTTTAAACTCAATTATTTCTTTTCAATTTTCATCAATTAATTTTTTACATTTTTAATCTTGTCTATCTTATACTGTAAAGATTTTAGTTGATTGGCAGTGTTGTTACATGATACCAGTTTCTCTTACTTTATATTTAATCGATTTTGAGTAAATTATGAAGTTTTTAAATGCGACTATAAGTTTCAGGATGATTTTTGATATGGAGATGCTTTTAGAGCTTTATATATTGTCGAAGTCTAATGTGCACCGTCAGAGAAAATTAGAGGTCACCGCTCCTTTTTTACACTTTTTAGAAACTATTCTGATTTTCGAGTTAAACATTGTGCATTATAGAGTAAAGTATCCTCTACAAAATAAGACCACATCCAACTCTCCAAGGCCTTCCATTGAGGAGATTCGAATTTTTTAAAGTTTGTTACTTTACGCTGAAAAAATCCTACTTTTTTAGTTTGAAAACTTTTTTTTCTTTCATTCAGTACTTGATAAACTTGTGAAATATTCAGTCTGGTAGAGTAAAGATGTCTCTACAAAATGAGATGTCTCTCAGCTCCTCATCATGTTTTCTGATAGTTATGATCATTTTAGACGTTATATCACAAATGTGACTATTTCAAAAGCTTCCAGCAAAATGGTCTTAATTCTATCAGAAAATATGGTGAGGAGCTGGAAGACATCTCATTTGGTAGAGAAATCGTTTCTCTACAAGCCTGACTGCTTTAAAAGTTTACCAAGTACTGAATGAAAGAGAAAAAGGTTCGAAAGTAAAAAAATAGGGTTTTTTCAGCCTAAAGTAACAAACAAAAAATTCGTATCTTTTTAATGGAGGGCCTCAGAGAGCTGGAAGTAGTCTTATTTTGTAGAGAACACTTTACTCTATAATACACAATATTTAACACAAAAATAAAAAAAGTTTCTAAAAAGTCTAAAAAGGCTTGTCAGCGTGGCTTCTATGAAGCAAAAATGTGCAAACTTCCTATTGAAGTGTCGGACTATAACATAGAACATGTAACAATAGATCATAATAATTCATAGAATATTCAGTAGTTGTAAACACCAAATTTAATTTGAAATTTGGTTAATCACAATTTCACCGCGAAAGTTTACAGCTCCTGCCAAAATAACCCTATGGAAGCGACAAAAATCCTCGTATATAAACTTTTCAAATTTCCTCTTCCATCGGAAAATGGACAAGTCTTAGGAAGTTTTCACAAAAAGGGGGATTACCTTTAATTTTCTCTGATGGTGAACATTAGGATTCGACAATATATACACCACTGGATAGAGCAAGTCTTCCTCTAAAAGCATATACATATCCCGTTTTGGGGTAGAAACTTATAGTCATCTTTTTCCGTAAACGCTTTACTCTATGAGATATTCTCGTAAATCAAAGACCTAATTTTTGTAGAAAGAAAATCCTGATTTCGGAGTAACTTTTTTCAAATCCCCCTCCCTCGCGCCCCTGGTCGTTCTAAGCTTATTCTAAGTTTATTTGATAAAATGACTTCTGCCGCCATATACAATCACAGAACATATTTACCGATTGTAACACCGTGTTTTTCACGTAAAGTATCTAGTAATTCCAAATAATCTTATGAAACCTTCTTTAACCACTGGGTTTTGGAGAGAAAACATTTCTGTACAAAATAAAAAATACCTTTTCGGTTGTTTTTTTTCTTGAACATTTTTACTTGACCATTTAGAAATGATCGAAGGGCATGTCACTTTTTGTTTTTCTTTAATTAATTTTATAATTTAACACCAATTCTCAGTATACATGAACTCATGACATCGAGAAAAAAATTGATCACATTTTATACTGGCAATTCGCGCAGTTCTTTTTTAAGGTTGTACATTTTCTTCTCATGTCTCTAATTTTGTGTCGAAAAAGCAGTAACTTCTACTTTGTTGAACTTCGAAATAGTGTTTAAACGTTGTCAATGTCTTATAGGTATCAAAACAATGATTATTGGTTTGCGTGATGATAATGGTTTTGTAAATAAAATTGCACCATTAGAAATATCCAAAATGGAAAATGCAACGGTAAAAATATACT